CACTTTCTCTTTCGTATTCAATTGTTTTTGATCACTTTCTCTTTCGCCGGAAATTAATAAAACTTTTGATTTTTAAATGTCAACCTCGGTATATTTCTACTTCATGCGATAGAAAATGACAATCTGAATAGAATGACATATCATAATGTGTCAACTTTTGACATTTTCGCGTATGGATTATTTGAAATTGTAACATACGGTTCATAACGACAATTTAACTCGAAATATCAAGTGTCTGGTACAAAATCATTCGTAAAAAATTCTTTTTCCAAATATGCAAATGAGCCACTTGTTCCATTTGAAAAAATTGGCATATGATTAAAAATACGATTTGGGCATTTTTTAACCGACCAGGACAAGACACGAAAACATTAGACGATCAAATCTATTTTCCAAGGCTCCTTGTTTAAAAATTAGTGTTTTTAACACAACCATGGCACTCTAGATTGAAATTTAAAATACGATTTTTTGAGCAAAAATGTCAAAAGTTGACATATGATATGTCATTCTACTCAGAGTGTCATTTTAAATCAAATAAACCAGAAATATACCGACGGTGCCATTTAAAAATCAATACTTTTTTTGTTGAAACAGGAAGTGACCAAAAACAATTGAATACGTCAATCAATCCTAATTTATGTCATATACTAACATACCAAATTTCGTTTTTTATCTAAAAAAATAAAACTCTCAAGATGCACCCGGTATAGAAAAAACAACCGCTGACTAAAGGAGGGTCCACATTTAGTAACATGTTATATAACATTGCTATTTAACAAGCTACATGTAACATGTTAAAAAACCGGGAGCCGTCCACATTATAGTTTTCGTAGTCATGAATCGTTTTGGCGAGAAAGAGGTTCAGCTCGCAGCAACGGCGTGCGTAATTATTTTTGAACTAAGGGAAAGAAAGTCGAGAAAAAAAGCGGTTTTGAGTCCGCCATAGCCTACCAGCAAGATCTAGATATACAGTTGAACTCAATTAGCATATCTTTTCAATACTTGCCTCGGCTGTTTCTCGTGGTGTCGTCTGTCTTTTAAAAACATTAATAATTTACAGTACGTCTCGTCTCCTGGATCTGTGTCTATGAAAGGAATGCGGACAAAAAACATTTAAATAAACAGCAATATATTATATACGTCGATTTGACGAGTGCGTCACCGCAAATCGCTCCGCCCACTCATTTTATTGGCTACTTGCAAATTTGTCGAATTTTTATTGATGGGATGCGTCGTCTATTTTTTACGAAAAACATCGAGAGAATATCGTTTCCCCTCTCACGGATACCCCGTAGCTACAGAACGGACAGACGTACTGTAAAAGCAAAAGCAAACCATTTTGAATTATCCACTTCATCTAAACCATGCAGTTCCTGATTTGCATTTCTTTTGTTCCCGCTGGAACTGGCCTATTAGATTACGCATTATTTCTCAACTTTTTCTGTTTCCAAATACACACTATGAAATGAAAATCGCTGTCATTTTATATGGAAAATTATATGGGGAATGTCATCGATCGTCATGTCCAAGCCAACTGGACGGGAGGCCGACGGGACGCAGGTTTTTTTTCGATCATATGGTATTATTGACCAGTAAATAAACAAACCAATATCAGCTCACCACACTAAGATTCTGTCGCGCACGTCCCTGAAAATATGAGCGGCTAAACTAGAAATTTAGCAAGTGTGGACGCGTTGTTTCATGTTACAATAGCAATGTTGCACAACATCTTTTGATCTTTACCGACTACAAATGGATAACATCTAGCAAGTTATATAGCATCGAAATTTGCTAAATATAACTAAAAAATATGTAACATGTTATATAACTTTGCTATATAGCAGTGTTATATAGCAAGTGTGGACCGTCCTTAAGATTGAACGCAGAGAAGAATTTTGAAGTACCTTTAAGTGAAATTTTATTGTTAAAGTAGCATAAAAATGCTTAGTTGTTATGGTAACATGTTTACTATTGGGGGGCGCCAGGTAGTGTATTCGCCCGGTCTCAATATTTCCCTTCCGCCGGCCCTGACTTCTTATAATCTATATCTATACTAATATATAAAATCCTTAAGTGACTGACTCACTGATTAATCACGATCCTGCTCAATCCACTCAACGTAAGAGGCTCAATTTTGGCATACAGGTTGATTCTAGGGTGTAGAGGTTCGATAAGAAGGGATTTTTCGAAATTCCAGTTCCAAGGGAGTGAAACACCACTCCTCAAAAATTACAATATTTTTTATTTAAAAAACTGTCAAGTTTCCGAAAAAACGCTTAAACACGTATATTTTATTTTGTTTTTTACATATTTTAACATTTTTAAAAATGTATACAGGGTGTTTCGAAAAATCTTGTCATTGATTATTCACGATCCTGCTTAAAGCGCTTGACGTAAAAAACTGATTTTTGGAAAACGGATTGTCTTTAGGGTGTAGAGTTCCATAACAAGGGATTTTTCGAAACTCGAATTCTAAGGGGGTGAAACCACCCCTCAAATATTAGAATATTTTTTATTTAAAAGCCGGTGAGTTTTTCGGAAAAACTCTTAAACAAGTATATTTTATTTTATTGTTTTACATATTTTAAGATTTTTTAAAAATTTATACAGGGTGCTTCATAAAATATGACCATTGAGTAATCACGAACCTGCTTAAACTGCTTGACGTTTAAAGCTGATTTTTAACAAACGGATTGACTGTGGGGTGTAGAGGTTCGATAAGGAGGGGTTTCTCGAATCTCAAATTCCAAGAGGGCGAAAACGCCCCTCAAATATTATATTTGTTATTTAAAAAGCGGTTAGTCTTTCGGGAAAACGCTTGGACACGCATAATTTATTTTGTTTTTTTAAATATTTTGAATTTTTTTTTTAAATCATACAGGGTATTCCAAAATGTTGGGTAATTGATTAACCACGATTCTGCTTAAACTGCTTGACGTAAAAAGCTTATTTTTGGCAAACGGATTTTTCGAAAGTCAAATTAAAACGAGATGAAACTACGCCTCAAATATTACCAAGTTATATAATAATATCGCCATATTGTTTTTTCTCATGCTGACGCATAAATGTGAGAAAATATTATCCAGTTTGTATGTTAATGGAAATTCTTGCTTTGCTTTATCATCACCACTACAAGTGATTAATTCGACGCGAACGAAGTCGCGGGTACACGCTAGTTAATATAATATACTTACCCTTAAATTATAAAAACCCTCATGCCTTGAGACTCCCACTGATCACCCATGCCTTGAGACTCCCACCTGTTCAAAAAACTGCTTAGATTAAAGTGTCTTTCATCTTTCCTCTAACTACGTTTTCAATAGATTACTTAATTCGCATCAGCTTCACCAGAAGTCACGTGACGTGGCGTCGTTTTTTACTAAATATATTATGGTAAATTCACACAAGTTTTGTGAATATGTCTAGAGTCTAGAGGCATGCAATTTTACTACAAGATTCTGATTTAGGTGCTTGTCAGATATAACACCCTCCGAATTTTGTACTTTTTTTTATATCACTCGAAAGCATACATCGAAATAAGTATTTCAAGCCAAAAAAAAGTGTGGATGATCCATAATTTAATGAAAAAATAAACATCTAATTATTGCTACAACAGGCTACTTTTTATGCGAAAACTTCTCCAAATTTTGTCGGCGTTGTCAGATTCATTCATTTCTTCTTGAAAGGTTCATTAAAAAAACACGTGCTGGTCGGAAGAAAACTCGCGTTAAGAACAGATTATAAATTATTTTAAAATCAAGAAAAGGCGATCGCCTGAGGAACTGCTCCTACCCATAGCTCATATTTTACCTACGAGATCTGACTATTTATAACTACAAAGTTGCACGAAAGAGTTTTGATTGCGTTGGTTTCAACTTCTTTGGGGGTTAATCTGTTGTTTTTTTTTATATTTTAATACGAATCTAAGTGCTTTCAATGTCTTGATTTTAAAATAACTTATAATCTGTTCTTATCGTGACAGCGCTACTGTATAAGGATTTGTTCGTCCGGCGACAGGCACGTAAAATCAAGTGAAAGCAATCAGATTCGTATTAAAATAAAAAAAAAACATAACAAAAGATTAACACCCTCACGAAAAGGTTGAAACCAGCGCAATCAAAACTCTTTCGGTTTCAACTCTTTTTTTGTATCATGTAACGTACCGTATGACCGAAAAAAACGGCGCCAGCCATGGCTATGAAATGAACATTCGCTGTCATTTTATATGTAAAATTATATGGGGAATGTCATCGATCGTCATTTCCAAGCCAACTGGACGCCGTTTTTTTTCGATCATACGGATGTATGATGTATCCTACAAAGGTATCATACAAAGAAAAAATAACTTTGGCAACAATGCTTACGCAGCTTACATCCTTAACAACAAATGATGACAGACGGCTCCGGCGGCAAGTTTGAATCGAAAGAGTAAATCGATCAGGCAAATATTACAAAAGTTATCACCAACTCTATTTTTGATTTATGACTTATTAATGCTTCTCAATGATTAATTCTGACCTTTATATTAATAGAAAAATGCGTATAATCGTCATATTTTACAATAATTACACGCTTATACAACTTCACCATAATCTAAAAATGCACTTTTAATTTATTTATTTTTCAATAAATTGTGGTTCATCCGCAATTTTTTTTTGCTTAAAATTCTTATTTAAATGTATGCTTTCGACTGATATATAAATAAATGCCAAATTCGGAGGGTGTTATATCTGACAAGCACCCTGATTTAAATTTAATTTTTAAACTAACAAAACTCATTGTGCAAATATGAAATTAATATCGTTTTGTAATAATCATAATATTTCACTGTTTTGCAAAATTACATTTTTTTGTGAGACTATGCAAAAATATCTTATTTATACAAGTTTCTTATGAAAAATACTCTAATGTATCAATATTTTTTTTGGAAAATTACTTTTTTATAGTATTGTTCGACATAATATATACAGTAGATTTCATTCCGAATTCTTTTGTTTCAGATAGTAGTACCGATGCAGCACCGCCACCACCATCCCCAGCCAACCCCGTTCCCGGCCTGAGCTCGCAATGACGTCACAGCACCCCCTCAACCCCCCATCACCACCCCCTCCGCCTCTACGCCCCTCGCAGGGCCGCCGGACGAAGAACACGATGGCCACCGCCGCCTGCGACCGTCGTTCTTGCTCTTCAGCTGTTCAGTTTGTTGCGCCGCGTCAGTTCGGTGAAGATGGCGGCGCTGTGAAGAAGTCGCATCAGCGTCGCAACATCAAAAGCAACAAAAAATGCCGCATCGTCATGAATCGGGATGAGTCCAGTGGCGTGTCGTCTCCGAAGGGATTTAGTGACGATGAAATAATTATTAATAATAATAATAGTGTTTATTCAGTGCGACTATGTGCCGTGAGTGAACAAGCACCGCAAAAATCTGTCTGTGATCCTTTTTTTAAAGACTGTTTACGTAATTTAGAATTATTATCGTGCTTTAAGTTATTCGTGTGCCTATTTAACTGTTTGGTCGGCTCGGTTAAGAGACGGAGCTGTGCCGTTATGTTGCTGGCCGTTTCGACGTTTGTGATCGGTGGGGTTGATGGATTCGCGAATGAGTTCGACAAAACCGAGCAGTTTTTGGATAAAATTAATCTGGAGCAGAGTATTGCTGCGGTGTTCAACAAGGTGGCGTACGGGAGTACGACGAAAAGAAGTATACCGGATAATTCGTATCCGGTGACCACTTTGGCAACGCCGCTTCTAACCACGTACAGGTAAATTAATTTTATTCCATACTTTATAGTAAAACCCAACCTTTGAGTAATAAGGTTCATATCAAATCTTTGAATAAGAAGACTAGGGAAGGAGCATATCAAAAATATTAGGTATACACCGCGATAGGCCTCAAATATGGCCGACTTAAATTCCGGTTTATCAGTGCCGTTCTAATTTTATTTAAAAAATGTAAAACTATGATGTAGGGTAGACGTGGGGTAGACTCAATAATTTGTTATTTTATTTTACGTTGTGAATAAATGTTGGTAGTTATTAAAATTGTTATAAAAATATATAATTCTAATAAAAATAGATAAGTTAATAAGTATTTATTAACACAAACATCCGAGGTAAGTCAAATTAACGTATCAAAATTCTTCGACATCTGATCTTTGACAAGTAGTAAATAAAAGCTAAAATGCAAGAAAAATGTATGATTTAGTTAATTTAAGTGAATTTCATAAATGATTGGTTTACTACACGTCTGTATATTATATAGTCACTTACTAGCGAAAAGTTGTTCCATTATTTCACTCAATTTTTGCCGAGATCTACCGCACGCTACACAACCAACTATTTTAGAGTCTTTTTCGATAAATCGCGATATGTCACTGTTAATTTAAGTTCTGCCACAATTTCCATCTAGATTTACTACCTTTATACAACTATCAGTAGTAGAATAAATAATAAATAACATAAAATAAGCTCCGTAAAGACTGACAAATCCACAAAATTTCAAATCAAATTCAAATGTGTCAAATGAATCGTCAAACAGAACTGTCAAGGATCCCCACCCTAGAGTGCTTTTTCCGCCCACCATGCATGAATACATGGATAGCATTATGCTCCTTCCTTAGTCTTCTTATTCAAAGTATCAAATAAACTTTTAGTCACGTGATTAAGCTTGACCGGCACAGCGTTGCCCACTTTTACATATTTTCTTTTAATCAAAAGATTTTAGGAAATAAAAGTAAATTAATTATAAATAAATAGACAGTTATTATTTCCATCAACAAAACTCACCTTCTTAACAGCACTTAGGGGACATAAAAGGCCATTACTACAGCTTTCCCGTTCAAAATATTCTAATAAAGTTTGAAAAATTGTGTTTTTACGGCTATTAAGCTATCTTGTACACTTTACACTAAAAGTGGTTCTAAATAGAACAACGTTCGCCTGCAAGGTCTGCTAGTAAAAAATTTTAAGGTTAAAATATCACAACACAATTCATTTAAACTAAAAACTCGTAATACATAACTAAAGTGTCAAAACGAATGACAATGTCAGGAAATATAATAATAATAATAATAAACAACGCTTTATTGTACAAAAAGCCAAAATAGCTTCATCGACAAAGCATGTACAAAACAAAAAAACACAAAAACAAATTTATAAATAATAGAAAAATGTCATACATTACAACTCAATTCAAAAAAAATTACGTCATTGAAATTACAAATAAAACATGTACATGGACATTGTAGAACACAGGCGTATCAAGAAAATTTTACAATAGGAAAATTGTAAATGGATAAAATCATGTTATATATCATAAAATCAAGAGTTATAAAATAATAAATATTAAATACTAGACCTTCAACCAGTGCGTGAGATGATCAAAATTGTTCATGATTAAACATCAACAAAAAAGTCGTTTACTCTGCATATAGGGCTCTCTCCAGTAAGTATGATTTCAGAGCTTTGCGAAATGCGGGAAAGAATGAAAGTGACTTTATATTCAAAGGCAAAAAAAGGCAAAAAAAGTACATTTTCTTGGCATTGTAGAGTATTGAGCCCTTAACTAGTTCTGAGCTCGGGGTTGGCAGACAAATATCGTGCTCCGCATTCCTAAGTGGATAAGAGTTGAGAGAAGGCCTTTCCAATAAATAAATAAGGAAGGAAGAATCAGTATTTTGATATTTTTAAAGAAATTCTGGCAGTGAGTTCTACTGTTCAGTCCCAATAAGTATCGAACTGCTCTCTTTTGAAGTTTGAAAATCCGATCAAATTTTGTCGCGCAGCAAGTACCCCAGAATGGAAGGGCATAACGAAGATGCGACTCAGAAAGGGCATAATAGACCATTCTAGAGGTAATAAATAAATGTGGCAACTTGACATTTTTTACATCAGAGCTACCACCTGAATCCGCACACTGAGCTCTCGATTACGTAACTACACACACCGGAAAAGTCTAGGGATATTACAATTTTATCCAGCCATCGTCAGTAATTTTATTATTACTGACGTTGTGCCTGTCAAGCTTATTCACGTGACTAAAAGTTTATTTGATATGAACTAACTGTATTTCTTTTGTCTGAATTTAGTGATATAAAAAAGTACACCCTGTATATTAAAGTATACAATAAGATACAACAATAATGGACAAAGATAATTTTTACAGTACAGTCAAGACAAAGTTAACTGTAGATATAATTCAAGTTGTTTCTTTTCTTTTAATTTACCATTCATAAATATCATTTAACAATAACAAAGAATGGAGAAAATGTATTTTCCCAGCTATTTCGTTTATAAGTTATAATTTATCATTACGCGTTATCCCATATGCTCCTTCATTCGTCTAAAATAATAATAAGTTTTCTTCTTTGGCGTTAATCTAGTTAAGGAACTTTATATCCCATTTTACACAATACATAATTGACTTTCTTGATAAATTTGACTGAAATTTGATATTAGAAAATAATTTAAATTTTAGCCAACTTTTTAATTAATTTAATATTTATAATACAATCAAGTCCCACTCTTTTTCATTTAACCAGCAATAAAACAACCATAAAAACCTATTAGTAATATACGTCAGAATATATGCTAAACACATTATATATAATAAAAATATATTAAATTTATAGTTCATGTCTGGCAATTTTGCAATTTTATAGATAAACGTGGCAATATCGATTTTTTTTTCTCGCATTCCTTCCGTAGCTACAGATCCGCTGGTCAAACAGTAATAAAAGAGTACAAGCACTATCTTGCGGTCCATCTCCAAATGTTGTTTAGGTTGTGAGCCGTAGGTAGGAAACTCTATTATTTTTGATGATGGTTCTGTCTCCCTGCAGCTCGCAGGTACTAAAAGATATTTTTAAAAGGAACTAAGGCCTGAGTTTATTGTGCTTTCGAATATTTTTGAGGCATACGCAGTCGCCGACAATGCAAGCAGATGGTGAGGATAAATAGACTCGAATTCTTTTTGAAACTGGGCTTAGTGGATTATCGTTTATCAAAAATTAAATTAAGGAACATATTTCCTTCCAATTAGGGTAGTATTTATTGGTATTTAATCAATCAAAAACATGGTCAGTCGACAGATGTGTAGTTAGCTCGATATAAAGAAAGGGTTTGTAGATTATAGATTAAGGGGAAGTTAATCATCGCGACCTTGCATATCTATTGTGTCCTCCTTTCTTGAGTTATAACTGGGGCTTTGACAAAAACAGTGGCGGAGTGGGGGGGGGGGCGGAGGGGGCGGTCCGCCCCGGGCCCCGTCTTTTAGGGGGCCTCCAAATCTCAATAAGTAATGTTTTATTCATCTGGCAAATAAGACCAATATGTGTTCAGTAGTTATGAAGCAATTTGTAGGTGGAGTATGTAAACCATACGTATACGCAAACTATAAACAGTATAAATAGAAGCAGATATTTTCTTAATTATCATTTATCAGGCCCCAGTAATTCTCAATGGCATTTTCTATTTAGGAAATTAAATCAAGGGGCAATTTTCTTTGTATAAAATATCGAGTAATTATTATTTTTCATAATTTTAAAGATTACAATAATTATGAATATAAACTTGAATTTATTTATTTTAGCTTTAAGTTATATTTCAATGGTTTCATTATTTATTTTTACTGAATAAACATTTTAAAATACAACCAATGCACAGCATAATTTGTATTCTAGCTTTCTAACCGATGCATGGTGAATACTGCCGTCTTTAGTATAACGGGGGCCACGAGTCTAAGACAGCGAAGGGGCCCCTCGAATCTTGAAGGACTTGAAATTGTATTCGTTTTTCGATTAAAAAATATTATAATAAGCTTTAAAAAATTGATGTTATCGTTTTTGAGTTATCATTGTTATACGGGACCGGAAGTTAAATAAGTCTTAAATTCTCTGTAAAATTCTATGGATATTAATGTTACACTCTATACCTAACATTAACCATTTTTGAGGAAAAAAAATATTTAAAAATTTTGGACGAAAAAAACTACCTTCCAAAAAAATAAATACTGCTGCCTTAAAAGTTTAAAAAGTGTATTTATAAAAATATATTTCGTATTTTAGATCTTTATTGATATCTAATAGTTGATATTATTAATAATATACCGTATAATCGAAAAAAAAACAGCGCAAAGTTGGCTTGGAAATGATTATCGAGAATATACCGATTTTTGAACAAAGTTTCACAATATGACATGGCAAAACTATTGTTTTATATCAGTTGACGTTTAAAGTCATAGGCCTACTGGTTAAAATCAAGAAAAATATGTGTTTTATCTATATACGCTTTTAACTAAATCTTAAATAACTTAAGAACAATTTATTTTCGGTATAGGAACATATGTATAGTTCAAAAAGTAACTAATTGAAAGGCCTTTTCACTAATGAAATAAAAAAGTGGATTTCCATTTGAAAAAAATGATTTATGATAGTTTTTTAGTCGCTCAATTCCATGACAGCTGCGGCCATTATTATATGACATTCGGCCACAATGCTTTATTCAGACCCAATTTAATTTTTGAAATAGATAGCCACATGTCTTCTCTTTATGGTACAGTGGCTGTGGTAATCACTAAATTTGACATTTAGGCTATACACATATTTTTGACAAGTTTTTTTTGTCCAAAAATTATAAATATTTTTTTTCCTCAAAAACAGTTAACGTTAGGTATAGAGTGTTTAATATCAAAATTCATAAAATTTTACAGAGAATTTAAGTAGGTATGTAAAAAATGAGGACATCCGTTTAAAATAAGAAAGTT